AGAACATAAAGAGCAGTGCTACACCCTTTTTCCACTTGTGCCTTTCAGGTCAACGACAGCCACTGACCGACAAAAACAAAACCGACCCGGGAAACTTGGGCAAAAGCCTCGATCCTGTGTATCGATCCGTGAATGAATCCGTGCTCTGTGAATAGATTGAACAACGAAAAAATTCTTGACGATTTTGCACGAGGGAAATCGATACCGATTTCGAACGTGGTCCGTGGCACATCCGTTCAAATGATGTGATGTTCGTTCACTAGGGATGGCTTGTCTCCAGACACCACTGCTGCATCAGAAAGACCAGTGCAAATATTCCGCCTAATCTGGATACTCGACACGAAACTGGAGCTTCTTTTTTAAGCTCTGGAGGATGTAAACAAAAAGTACGCGGCGACCGGAACGAAAGACGATAAAGAAATTTCTTCTGTGAACGAGTTCCTTGCAAGTACCATCCCAGGTCCGCTGGCTGTGAAGGTCATCCGGCCTTCGGACGCAGCAATAAAGACCGCCACAGGTGTGTAAGACAGCGGGCTAATTATCTAGTGGTCATCCTTCAGAAAAGTCACGCCGACAATGTGGCTCAGTCGCTCCTTGATAGTGCCCTGACAAAACCTGATCAAGAATCGCTTCACGTAGATTAGTTACACCAGAAGAGAAGCGGGCAGACCATTGTGCTTCTAGTCACCCTTTCCTCCCTATCTTCCATACAGATCTTGGAGCGGCTGTCAGCATTCAAAAGGTCTATCCAATGATCATGCTTCAATCTGAGGATCACTCTCTAAAGCGCAAAAGCTAAGCCACAACAGTTATAGGAGAGAGGCGCGAAACAGCTTTCCACTTGGCGCCAATTCAGCCGACCTTAAAGTTATGGCTAAACCGACTGTAGTTATGGCCCCTTTGTGCCTCTGATAGTGCGCCGACGCAACCGGCCGCGACTCCGGATAGCAGTTTCTACTCAACCACCGCAGAACCTGCGGCTACCAAAGGCAACGAAGTTCTGGGGAAGGTAAGTCTCATGTGGATGGGCGCCCAAAAACTTCTTTCTGCAACAGACGACAAGAGCACAGCAGTGAACTCTAAACCCAGGTCACAATTTCTGCGCTGGATTGGGTCAGACGTGCAGAGACAAGCGGCGAAGCCTACCGACACATCAACCGGATACATTGACCTCGACATCGAGATGTGCTGCAATAACCGTACAACCACTTAGAATGTGAAACTGTCAGTCCTCAGCTTCGATCCCTCAAAAGTGGCCTCTTTGGTTGTGGATAGTCGCCGTCCAAGGCCCAAACAACCAAAGCCACAAACCTGACCACAGCAAACCGGAAAATCCCTCGTACAATCACTTGGTCATGTTGATCGCGGGTGACTCGATCAGCGACTGCAGCCAAACAAAACACATAAGATTAACCAAATCAGAAAACTGCTGACTGGCTTACACATCGTGGCGACATTCAAAGTTGATTTAGTTCATCCGATGATGTTTATAAAGGTTCGTATCAGCTACATTCCAGTTGCCTTGTGGATTTTCATGGGCTCCAAAATCACGCTTGTTGATGAAAGAACGTGGAAACAAATTGGTAAGCTTTATGCGAAACCAATTAAACATCGGACGAGGTCGACCGCTCCATAACCTTGAATGGCTCGATGGCACAGGCCATGAGCCACCTGAGGTCACGCCTCATACTTTTTCTCATGGGGACGGATTGGATAGATAAGCCACATCTGCTGGAAGAGCCGATCGGTCCTATTTGTAACTTCGCCCACGCGGCCTTGTAGTTGTTCCCAAACGATCTCACTTCCCGAGGATCTCCTGTAAAATCGTACATCCAAATTTCCTCGGCGCCTCGAAGGGCGCAAAAAATCGAGAGCCAAAGTGTGCCTGCTCCCCTGTGGCAGATCACTATTAGGGCAGAAACTCGCAGTGCCTTATGGGGTCTCTTAAATCATTATTCAGTTAATGGGCTGAACACAGAATACTGGTATGCTACAGATTATCTGCTAACCGGCATGAGCGGCATTGGTCATACTGGTGGAGAAGGTTAACAGAATCATTCACGTGTGTGCAGACTTCTTAATCGGTCCCAACGCATGAATGCATCATTTATCTGTAGCATAGAAACACTATGTTTAGGGACACTGAGTGTGAGGTAATGTCAGAGCGCACCAGCCTAGAACTGTTCAAGGCGCCAGCATCTAGTTCCAGCTATGGGAGGTCTGGCTGAAAGGTTTCATTTATAACCAGTGAACTAGACCTTGCTAATAAAACCGAGGGGTGAGACACGAAAAACTTGCGCTTGTGCCAAACATCCTGGATTGGACGACCGAAATCGGGTTTTATGGCTTTTTCGGAGACACAAGGCCAGAAAGACAATATAGCTCTAGTAAGGGATGTCTGAGATCGATTTTATAGAAATTGCAAGGTGGATCAGAACTATTGAATTTATTAGGGGGCTTTCTGGCTCACTTTATAGGCAGAACAGTGTTTACCAGCCGGTAGATAGACTGACCTGAAATGCCATTTGGCGGTTGAACGGCGGGTGTGGACGAGATCGGTGGATGCAGGGCTGCAAGAACTTTCGGATTGCGAGGCCGAAAAACGGGGTTTTATGAAATATCCAATCTCGGAACTACAAAGCCTAATCCACAGGGAGATGGGAGGATGTCGTTTGTTCAGTGATCCTTCTTCTAGCCTCTTGTTTATACGTGCAAACCGCGAGACGGTGGTTGTCTTTGTTTCGGTGCCAATAACCAATTAGTCTTACCCGGTTGGCTGAAAAGGGTTGGCCTGGCCTGAGACGCAAGTTGTAAGGCATAACAGTCTGACTGCTGATGCGGCTGATTGCAGCAGGTATACACCAAGCAGCACTATTCCCTTTAATTTTAAGAGTATGTTGGCAGCAGTGAGTAATGCGCCAACGGTCGTGGTCGTACGTTAGGTTTCTGGCGTGTGCATAATTCAGATATTGTATTCTTCTGTCCGCTCGTTCAACAAATGCAGAAAGCTTCATTTGTTCAACAAGAATGACATGCTTGCCGCCTGAGTCAGAGAATCTTTCTGTCTTAACATTCCTGCCTCCAAGGGAAGAACGATTTCAGTTTCAGCTAGCCTTGTATTCAGAGTATTTTCCGCTTCGAGACGTCCATCACACTAACAACCTCCAGGAATTTACACCCCCCAGTCGTTACGACTTTGGTTTACCCCCCCCCACACCGCCTCTTAGCCCACATGCAGTAAACTGTCCTGTCTCAGGTAGTATAGTTATATTGGCAATCTTATCTTAACTCTGATGACTATACCACTGAGTACAGATTCATCCTCATCCTGTCTTGTTTAATCACCTGATGTCCTTCCATAACTGTGGTGGACGTTCATTTTTTTCCCCTATCAAGGGACTATATCCTGTCTGACAACCCCTATAAGGACGTTCATTTTTTCCCCTATCAAGGGACTATATCCTGTCTGACAACCCCTATAACTCTCCAGACCTTATTGATCTCATCTCATTTCATTCTTACTCCAAGCTTCGACCCGTGGTAATGCGCGCTATGGACTATCTGTTTGACCGTTGTCAACTCCACCCGATTTGTGCATCAAGAAGGAAGGGAAAAAAGGGAAAACAACAACAAGACTGCACATCTCAGCCCAGCAACCCAAATCACGACGTCCATCACGGGGCTGTCTAGAAACCGAAGTACTTCAGTGCAGTGATGGTACGGCGCTGGAATACCCGGTTTGATAGCATACCCGAAATTGTTACCCTCTTACTTTTTCCAGGCCCTCTCGCTCACTAATTCCCATACCGACAACCACAATCAACCTTCATTTGTCCCCGGCCACCATCGGAAGGCGTTCATTGCAACCTGCCGAACCTTCTACCAGATGTAAAGATGTCGGCGGCTTTTATTCGTACTCTTCACCATCTCAGTCAATTATTGCTCAGTCTGCGTGAACTCGTTTCCCAAAGTAATTTTACCATCGACCGTGCTCCATCCGCAATACTAGTGAGTCGCACAAGCTTCACTGCACACTGTAATTCTGCGTTTCCTGCCACCAATTGTCCGTACTACAATTTTTACCCCACTACACCACCCCCACATAGCATTCCGTGGCCATCCGCCACACAGCCCAAGGCCATGAAGCCCTAGTGACGGCTCCGGGCTTTATTTCAAACCGGCCTGCCATGTCGTGGCAACTCTGCTGCCTCTCCATATCCATTATTCCGGCCCTACACTTCCTGTAATTTGAAGATTTTTGTTTTTGTCACGTTCCAGTCAGGAAGCTCTTTGCTATGCCCTCACTTGTATTGTTTTCCCTGCCCACCACTTTAAACCCCAACGTTCAGATCTCGTCTCATATGTTCTCCATAAGTCATGAAGAGACTCTATAATTTCGGATCCCTACCCATGACGCCTCAGGTGTGATGAACTCTACTTCATTAGTGTTTACTGTTTACGCCACTTTCCCTTTTCCAGGAAGCTTCCATTAATCACAAACCCCACTAGTCATGCCTTTATTCTGACTGTAACACTATGATCATGCCCGACGGTATGCTACCCACTAGTTGGAAATAAATATTACTATTATTATTAAACTTGGAAACTGCTATATTGAAACCAATTTCACGGCCCGATCGCGCCGAAATTTGGAACCATCCACATTTTAACCACCAACAATGCGGTTAGGATTTAAAAACGATGCGATATGTATGCTAGCATCCTAGGACTTTATCCCTTCTACCAGATCTTTCCAAACCATATCGGTAAAAGTTGCCCATACTTGGCTGGAAGGTTATCACCTGAGTCTCAGAAGTCGGTTAGTGATAGAGCACACTTCCCTCCAACAACTCGTGCAATCTAGTAAATTCGGCGTGAATTGATCCCCGATTTTTATGTGATCAGCTCCCCAAAAAACCAGGTAAATTGGTCATGGTTGACACAATTCCGCATATCTTCAGAGGACCGTCAGATCAAGCATCGAATTGCTGTCTGTCAAATACTACAGTCCCTCACGCGGTAGGACCGAACTTTTCCTGTCCTAAAACCGTTCCTGATAGTGCTAAAACTGATGTGCGATTACCCCTCACCTTACATTTAGGCTCTGTATCTCATCATGATGCCACGTATAGCTACCATTTAGCTTTCAATCTCAAAAATTGGCAGACCAGTTATCATGCCCTATCTGGTGTCAGTCGAATCGACCTTAGGAGCTCACAAATGACCCAGACATCACGCGCGATCAGTAAATTGGTCAACCTCAAAGGCAAACGCATCACGAACGCAACTCCGGGCAAGACTCATTAGCACTCTATCTCAAAACATCGGATATCCCGCCCATCGGCAGACCTGGTCCCATAAGTTGTCATACCTCACCCTGTTTTCCTACACAATTGTTCCCACGGTACCCTCATCCTCACAGTCATGCAGTAAACTGTCCTGTCTCAGGTAGTATAGTTATATTGGCAATCTTATCTTAACTCTGATGACTATACCACTGAGTACAGATTCATCCTCATCCTGTCTTGTTTAATCACCTGATGTCCTTCCATAACTGTGGTGGACGTTCATTTTTTTCCCCTATCAAGGGACTATATCCTGTCTGACAACCCCTATAACTCTCCAGACCTTATTGATCTCATCTCATTTCATCCTCACTCCAAGCTTCGACCCGTGGTAATGCGCGCTATGGACTATCTGTTTGACCGTTGTCAACTCCACCCGATTTGTGCATCAAGAAGGAAGGGAAAAAAGGGAAAACAACAACAAGACTGCACATCTCAGCCCAGCAACCCAAAT